GGATAGGATCCACGGGGTGGGGTCAGAAAGTTTTGGAAACGAGGTGGCCGCTGTTTCTGAGCAAAAGCAGATATGGGCATCGTCTCATGAGGTTCATTACTCTGGGGAGAAAGCATTGCAGAGTGTTAGCCATCAAAATCATATGACAAGGTTTTTGACATGACAGAAAAATGATAATAGCCATTTATGACTAAACTGTTTTTTTCTTACAAGCACTTCATAGTCAGGAACCGTGTGTGTGCCGAGCCCATTTCTGTCAAAAGTCACGCGATATGTTGCTGCACTGGTATCCACTGCATCAATCTGACCAGTAAACAAGCCATCATGGACACCCCTAAGACGAGCTAGTGTTTAAAGAAAAAAGAAAAAGCAGAGGATCTTAATTCAAACCCTTTTATTTTGTACATTTTTTCTTTTGCTCTAGAAGACATTAACTGACATTATGCTTCAAGAGTGCAAAATTTCTGCAAATGCAAAACTAGATCATCACCTGATCAAGTTCACTCTTTCTAAACCCACAATCTAAAGAAAATGACTATTTTGCAATGTTCTTTTCACATGTACTGATAGTGTCAGATAATGGCAGATATCAAACGTGTATAATCAGATCCTCACCTGTAACTTTAGTGCCGATGACCAAGGGCAAAGGAATCTCATCTGGCAAGTCTTTGCATAAAGACATATCTGTGATTTTCCTCTGCTGCAGGAGACGCATCTTCTGCCTCTTCTGTTTCAAAGCCATTCGCTCTTCAGAGAAGAATGCTGAGGAACATCTGAAAAACATTAAATATTAACACAAGTCCATGCATTTGAATGCAAGATATTCACATTCTAATGCAGCTTTAAAGTGCAAATCTAGATGTATACATACTATAACTGTAAATCATTAGTAATGTACATTATGGGTATTTATTGTGATTATTACTGTATGAGGTTAAAAAAAACGAGGAGTCAGTTAACCTTCGAGGTTTGCCCATAAGTCTTCTGATTGTTCCCCATTCAACTCTTGTTAATTTTCTGGTCTTTAAATTGGGAAAAGACTCCTTCAAACACAGGCAGAAGTCATTGTCTCCTTCAAATAAAGGCCTAAAAAAAGACAACATTTGGAAAGATAATCATTTAAAATATTTGTGGTAAATCAATATTCCAATTTAATGCTGATACAGACCTAATAAAGATGTATGTTAGCAAATCACATCTAAGTAATATTGTTTACTTTAAAGTTTAAACAATATTTATCGAATTTGGTACTTATTAATTCATATTTATTAGAATTTGGTTAAAATAAAAAGGATTTTTTCTTTATTATAAATTGACATGAACATCTGTTAATCAACCAAGCAGACCATTATAGCAAATTTAGTTTAGTCTTTGACTATTAATATCTATTCATAATGGAAACACAATGTCATGACATGTCTTATTCATGGAAGAGAGACACTACTCTAACTTTCCAATAATCTAAATGATTACAAATTTAAGAATGTGAATATTAAAGGTAAGGTTAGGCAATTTCGGAGTGGCTAGCATTAGCAAGCTAGCTTTGAAAGCATTAGATCCCACCCTTCCTTCAGAGCGTCTCCAAATCAAATCCATTCAAAACACATGAACGCACAGCCAAAGCAGATTCAGCAAAGCATCATAAGAGATGCTGTTAAATTACCTCATGTCTCAAAGCACATAGAATTACAATAATCATGAATGTAAACAACTTAGAGCTCTTATTTGTACCAATAAATCTTACATTTATTTCAGCATTGATAGTGTTGACACAGAAACGCACAAATCTGAGTCTGAGGAAACATCACGGACTGAATGCAATGATTGAACGAACATTAGTAGGTCATGAGACATCCACAGATAATATATGTACATTATTTAATATTTAGACCACTTCGATTATTGATTGGGATGATCAGGATATGATAAGAATGTTTCAACCAGAATTCCCCAAAATTGCCTACGCTACCCTTTAACAGCACAAGAAATACACAAAACACAGTGACTGGAAATATAAAGTCTGCAAAACATACCTGTCAATATTTGAATAGAACCATTCATAGATGCACCATTTATGCGCTTTGGGCAGTTTGAGCAAGTTTCTTAGTCTCAGACCAATTTTCTGTGAAACCCTTTTGTCTGGTGTTGTGACATTTGTAAGTTTCTGCAAAGGAAAAATTCAAAATTAAAATGCAATTCCACCAAACTTCATGTCAAAAGATCCATCTATCCTTCTTATTAAAAACACATCCTGGTCATCGATCACCTGAGGCACAGCGGTGACCCTCTGGCTCCTCCTTGGAGATCTGGAGGCGACAGGCCGTTCCTCATCCTCACACGACAGTCGACTCCTCTTTGAGCTCCTTGTTGGCTGAAGGACAAAGCAGATATTAGTTATTGGGGAGCAATGCTAAGATGCAAAACTGCCACCATTGCAAGCAATCCAGAAACACAGAGAAGAGTATGAAGCATTGATGACAACTTGCCGTTTCCACAGAAACATAACTGCTCCGTCCCCTGGTGGTCTGAGATTTTGGTAAATTGTTCTTCTCATTTAGAGTATTAGACAAACTTCCTTCTGTAGAAGAACAAAACCAAAGTGCCAAAAATTACTCGGCTGTGGAGGGGATGTAAAGAAAAAACGCATGCAATCTAGGCCTATTAGTTTCAGAAACAAAAGATTGACGTACCTCTTAAACTTACAAGAGCTTTAGCTGAAGAGCCTGAAGGTAAAAAAGCACAAAGAGTTTGATCTATTTCCATACATAATGTTTTCAAAAGCAAAATGTGATTAAGAATTTGCAATAAATCTTACAAACCATGCAACAGACTCAGGAAAAAGTCCTAAATCAGATTTCAATTCAGTTTTGTTCATCTTGCACCTCAAAGTTTTTCAACAATAAAGATGGAGAAATAGAAGACTGACTTCTTAATAAAAATAATATCATGTATAAATAAAGACATTTTTTTACACTGTCTAGTCTACAGTCATTACATATGTATTGATAGAGCAGTGATAAATGACACAGCTTTTGGTTTCTGAATGGATCACCCTGGTTGATAAAAATAAATGTATTATTATTTGAGATCACTAACCATGGTGATACAACCAGAACACACAAATATCTATCTGTAACAATACGGTGCTTATAGAACTAACTAAATAACATTTTATATCACTGCTCTAGCTCAATATGCAATCAGTTCATATTGCAAATATTAACAGTAATAAAGATTAATTAATGGCAATAACAACAACACTTGAAGAGCAAAGCTAAGGAATCACATCATGGTCCATCCTGATGTAATACAACAAAGAATGTATATGATAGTGGAACAAAACAATCCACTGAGAACTATTTTGATGAACCAGATAAAATCCAAAAACCAGGACTGTATCATACAAAAAGAGTATTTTATCATAGGATGAGTATTGTGAACATATGGAACGTGTTTGTTTATCATATGGAGAGTGTTTTAATACACAAACAAATTGACACTGACAAGAACAACAAAACCCAGCAGCTGTCATCGAGTTACGACCCTATAAATGTCTGTAAAGTTCAACCCTGTCCGTATCGTAACCACCACGCTACTACTACCATCCGTACGGTTTATGCTGATTAAAAATAAATGATTATAACAAGATTTTACGGCAAAAATCTCCTCAGGTATTATGTTTATTTATAGTAGTAGCCTCTGAAAGCTAACTGTTAGCTCGTTAGCCTGAGCGCTAATAACTTTACGTCTATTTTAACACCACTGATAACATTGAAAAACACTTTAAATTTATGGCGAGTAAAATGAACAATAAAGCGCTTTTAAATTGGACACATGCTCGGCAGGAGAGTTGTGAACGTTTAGTGAGGAGTTTGTTATTTTACTCACTCTCGTCTAACAGCTGCTCGAGCTCCGCCATCTTGAATTAGCCGCGCCGGTTTTTCAAAGGCCGAGTGCCCCGATGCATTGTGGGACAGAGAGGGCAGTTCAAACAAACACTCGACAGTATGCGCTCACAAAACTATCAAAACATTTTTATTACAGCTGCATGGTATAGAAAAATGAGAATCTTAAGATACATTGGGAATTTATGCAGTTCCTTCTTTTCATATAACCCTTATAAAACATGTTTAAAAAGGTTCATCATCTTCTCTGTATTCCCATAAACGTTTCATTGTTCAGCGGTTGTCAACCAGGGGATTGGGGCACATTAGGGAGCCTCAATATGATTTAAGTTACATTTTTATCAAAAAGAAAAAAAGTAAAAAAAAATTCAATTTCAAAACCTTTATGAACTGTATTACTTTCTTAATGAATCCTTTCTTTAGTCCTTGATACTCATGGAATAATAATAAAAAAAGATTTATTCAAACATATTTACATTGAGTTCCTATTAAAAGTAGTTTGAAAACAAGCAGCTTCAAAATGACAGCAGAACATATAGCAGAGAAATTGTATAGCTTATACAAGCCTTTAAATATTGTGCATTCAAATAAAAAAAAATAAAAAGCACTGCCATAGTTTATTTGCGGTATCTGTTGCAAAATCATAGTAATCACAGGTAAAACCATGAATGCAAGAGTTTGAATCAGTTCTAAACTCTAGAGAAAGTGCTTTTTTGTTGTCTGGGACTAAAGTTAAACAAATTGACCATAGTTCTTGCACTGTAACCATAGTTTAATTGAGAGAATTCCAACAGGACCAAAGCTGTATTAAAATAAAAAAATTACATAATAGATTTAATGCAAATCAGATATCCACCAAAATGCCAGTTTTGTAGTAAACCCCCCCAAAAAACTGTTCTTAAAGATTTAGTCAGAACAAATTCTCTGAATGTAAATACTGAACAATTGTACTTATAATATATACAGAAATAGGTTATTCCAGTACATTTTAGTTAAATCGATACCATAACCCCCTGCAAAACATGATTTTATTTATTTATTTTCTTTGTATTATTATGGAAGCATTGGACAGAAATAAGTGAGCTTCAAACAAAATAAGCCAAAACTTTTTTTATTTATGAAGCAAAGACGTTTGTCAGGATGCAAACAGGCTTTTTGTTCACAAAAAGTTTGTCGTTTACCAAAAAAAAAAAAAAAATTACAGGTGTGTGAGTACAGCAGCAGCCATTGCTCTTAGCTTTACATTGCAATTTCAATTGGCCAAAGAACAATTTGACATGGGACAAAACTGGAAAGCAAAACCAGGACAGTACACATTTAACATACAAAAAAAATATTTGTCCAAACATGGCAATTCTAGTAAAAGGTTACTCAGTCATGGCAGGCTATATCCTAGCTTACAACACTTTTTTTTCTAAAACTGTACATTTTCTCTTTTTTATATTGAGAACACAACCAAAAACATGTACACTACAAAAGTATTAAAACAAAGAAAAAAATCTATGAAAAATGGAAGACTGTCTACCTATTATTGTTGGTAGCTTACAAGAAAGATCTCCACAGATAAGTCCAAAAAATTCTGTGAATATATACCAAAGCTTGTAACATTTGCAACAATGCTGTGATACAATTTGTGATTGCAAATGAAGATATAGATATAGCCACTTAACTTACTTCAAAATAACAGGCTAGAGCAACAGGGAATGTGTTGCTGAAGCACTAGATAACTGATTTAACCGTTTGTCAACTCGTATACAGCTTAGTCTTGGTGCTAAAGCTGCAGCAGTTGGCTTCAGTGGAGTCCAAAAGCCTGTCCACATGGGCAGATCTGACCCGCTGTCTCACCAGAGAGAGGATTGATAGTTGAAGCGAACCTTCAGCAGGTATTTCAGGTTAACCTGAGCAATATCATACACAATGTACCTGAAAGGAAATTTTGAGTCAAAGAAAACACAGTGAAAGATGAAAGTGTAGTTATATAAATAAAGGAAGCAGCTAATAGTGATATGTGCTATTTACATTAAATGAAAATATGTATTTTCTTTACACTAAGTGTGAATAATTGTTAGATGCTATTTATACTTAGTGCAAATTGTGGCAGATACTGTTTTCACTTCAGTGTTAATATTATAAAACAGTGTGCAATAGCAACAACATATTCAGTGTATATGATTGTATTTATTATAACTATAAACAACATTACCTCCACTACACCTACCCCTAACCCTTAAAAACTTTATTCCTGCAATTAAACAGGCCCTTTAATTTCCACTTCTCATTTATTTTCTTAATTTCTATTTTTTGAACTTATCTCCAAGCAGATATGCGATGGGAAAAGGGATAAGTAAGAGTTTTAAAAATGCCAGATTCGAACTCAGGTCGCTCACGTCAAAATAGTGGTTATCAGCCTTATGCGGCTATGAGCAGGATTTATTTTATAATCTTGTCTGGTTCAATCAGACAATGGTGGGCGACTGGGCGGAGTTAGTGTAAATGGCATCTGCAGAAAAACGATAGGCTCTTTGCACTTGGTGTAAAATAGACACTCCGTTAAATATTTTAAGATGCATATATATGTAAAACAACAGATGAAAGGATACTCGTTGTAGAGCAGACTTGTGTCATCAATGTTTGTGTTGACCCCTTTGCCCAGCGGAACGTCCACTCCATTCAGAGATACAGTAGCCGTTGGGTCCGGAGCAGTTCGTCCCAAACCTGAACACGGCAAAAACACGGCAAAAACATTTGTCAGAAACAAAAAAACAGAACTACAAAATAAGATTTCTTTCTAAATGTAGAACCACCGTACCTTTTACACTGTGTTTACCCTTTGGTAACTTTGTAATGTGCGAGGCTTTCTTCAGTTCATGCCTTTAGAGTAGAATAAAAGTCAAAATCAAATCATTATAGAGCACTCAGCAACATCATAAAAGGGTTTCATTTTTCCAAAAATCATTTGCCTTCCTAAAAGTGGTGACAACTGAATGAAGGAAACTAAAACTTATAATGTGACAAAAGAGTTCATTTCAAATAAACACTGTTCTTTTGTTCAAAGAATCCTGAAACAAAATGTATCTTGGTTCAGACAAAACATCAGCACAACTGTTTTCAGCATGGATGGATGGTAAGAAATGTTTCTTGAGCAGTAAATCATCATATTAGAATAATTTCTGAAGGATTATGTGACACTAAAGACTGGAATAATGAAGCTGAAAATTCATCTTTGCCATCACAGGAATAAATAAACATTTTAAAATATTCAAATAGAAAACAGTTGTATTTTAAAAACTAATAAAGTTTCACAACATTACTGTTTTTACTCTATTTTTGATAAAATAAATGCAGCATTTGTGAGCATAAGAGACAAAACAACAACTTTTGAAGAGAAATGTATTAACTTGTTTAACTTTAGGGGCTTTCGCATCAGAGGAACGTGTCCATAGTTCCTAGAACTATTGGCATGTTCATACCACAGGAACTAGGAACAATTTTAGTCCTACGATCTCCTTTTGGAGGAACTAATTTAGTTCCTACTACACAGTAGGGTCTAAACCAGCACTATAGAAACTACCAGTGACGTTATTGTACGCCGATTGGCTGAATGCAAGTGAAACACCAGCACCTGCCATTTAAAAAAAAAGCTGTGTAAACAGAGATTATAGCCTATACATTTACTCCAGGTGGAATTAACTCTACGAACATGAAAAACAGTGACAGATGGGCCCCTCAACCTATACGCTGAGGGGACCAAGCGAAATATGATTACGTATTTCTGCTCAGCTAGCATCACTGGACATCAACCACACAGCAAACGCTAATACCTTTTCATATACACGCTCTATATTCTATGTATAACAGTTTTATCTGATATCGTATTAGACAGGACTGTTAGACAGATTGTAAACTATTGAACATGGAGAATGTAAGCACTGTGTACTCTGGCGTTCTTAGCGGCGTCGTAATAAGCCGCAATAACTACCGCGGCTAACGTCACTTCAGAGTTCCTACTGGCGGTGCGATTGCAAACAGGAAAAATTTTCTAAAGGGAACTATTAGTTCTCAGGGAACCACCCTGGTGGCTAGTTTTCGGTGCGAAAGCCCCTCTTGATACCATAATTACAAAAGCAGACTTAAAACAAACTAGGACAAAAAGAGCATCTCTCACATGTTTCCAAGGGCAACCTCTCCTAACAGAAGGAGGCCAACAGGGTCAGCCTGGGACGTGTGGCAGTAGTTCGCACTCTTCGACACCATGTCAGCAAAGTAAACGCCTTTGCCAAACATGTAACCTGTCTGTATTAAAGATCACATAATCAGTATCGATATCATTAGAGTATAGCAGTATTCCAAATGTGTGTTTTATATCAAAGCACAACAAATATGCATAAACTAAGAAAGAAACTGCTCTAATTGAGTCATTAATCAATAAGAAGATTTCTGCGTACTAATTTTTCAGAGAGAGGCAGCTAATGGCACTAGAGGGTGCAGAAACTCACCACTGGAGCCTCAGGAGGAGCGATACGTAGACCCTGAGACAGGATACCCGCGTAGTTGGTGGTGCGGGAGCCGTGCCACAACAGCTGCCGGTTGGGTAATTCTTTGAAGGGGCGGAAACGCTGGTACTCACCCTCCCTGTCGATCTTAAAGATCTAATGGTATAAAAACACAGTAGTCAGAGTTAATGTGTGTTATTTTGCAGCTATGGTGTACCCAGTGCATTTATGAAACAATAATTAAATGTATTTATTTTGACAAGAACCTTTAGGCAAAGTAGTATGCATGTGCATTTAATTATATTTGATACATCAGGCTTATGGCTCATATAGTATAATATAAGAGAATATAGAGCTCAAAGGATTATTATTTTATATTTAGAGACCCAAACTGTGCAAAAATGTGTAATTTGGTGCAGATGCTAAATGTTAAAATAAATACATTCTAATAGCTTGTAATGTAAATCAGTGAGATCTTTACAACAGTATAGCAGACTACTAGCATAAAAGGCATATCAATATCAGTTGACACCTAATAATGTCTTAGTAAGTTAATTTAAATGCTTAGTTTTATGATCAAAGCTCTGTATTTCTTTATTGTGGGATGCAAAACATACTGTAAAATGCATTGATTGAGAGATGTACAAAAAAAGTTCTTCAAGCCTAATGTATCATATTTGATACATTTTAGATTGATTTTTCAAAAAAAAAAAAAAATTATGTATGGATAATCAAATAAAACTAAGATCCTTGAGTCTAGTAAGTGTTCATATTGAAATTTTACTAACAATCTAACAATTATTCTTAAATCATTAAAGACTACACAGAAAAAAAATAAATAAAAGAGTACCACAACCTGAAGGGGGACTTTCTTTATACTAGACTACACTTAAAAAGTTTAAACTATTAGTCAGATGATAGAAGGCATGTAGTAGATTGTGTAAAACAGTGTTTTCAACCATTTATCATCATATTGACCTCAGAAATTTGCACATCAAATGGTACAAATGGAGAGATGAGTTTCCATTAACTTTAACGACTTAAATATTATTTTGTACCTCACATTAAGCAACCGAATGGCTTCAGAAGTCTTGGAATATAGTGCACTAAAATTTTAAGGTGTTTTACAATATTTTTTATATCTTTAGTGGGTCTTAACAATATAAGAGAATACTGCGTACAATATCGGACGGTACGGAGAAGCTGCAGCCGAGCCAGTGAGGATTTTGGGGGATGAATCCTGAGCATCGTCTTCCACCATGTCTTCTTGTACAAAAAACACAACGTTGCATGCTGTGGCTGCATCAGACTGATGCTACCAGGACAGGATTTTCCCCAAGTTTTCAAAATCGCGATAATCGAACACTATTTTCGTGATAATTAAATTTTAAACGATAATACTAACCGTCAGGACATTTTATCTTGGTAGGTACAGTAGACTTTTTTTAGTGTTAATCTCACCTCCTCAACATCCAGTGTGTAGGTGTTGTGAGTAGCAGCGTGTGTGTTCTTCACATATTGCAGTATAAGCTCAGCCTCATTTGATGACTTGTCGACCACCTAGAAACACAAAATCAGTATCAAACACGAGAGTTGTTTTAATCAATGCTAGCCGCAAAGGAAAATTCACTGGTCTTGCAATGAAATACATTTTTACCTCAATTTTGGTTTTGAGTTTCTCATAGTTAATGTCAATTGGATCTTTCTTATTGTCCTCCACTCCTCCCCGTAGCAGGCTGTAGGCCACCTCGATGTCCAACAGGTTGTCCAGCATCTGCACCTTTTGCTATAAAGAATATGCAACAGGTTTAAGACAGACATCACAACAAGACTGCTGCCGAGACAGTATTTTTGACAGTTGCCCAAGCCATACCTGTATGTAATCCACGTTACTCAACAGCGGTGGCTTCTTCATGCCGAAGTCATGAGGTATTAGTGTGTAGAAGCGATTGGACAGGTCTAAGATCAGTGCTTCTGAAGAGCAATCAGCCACAGCCTATAGAAATAAAGGAGTTAAAATAAAAGGAGTGCATATTTGATGGACTGGTTTCATAGACAAAACTGTTCTAGTTAAAAAAACTAGAGGCGGTGAAAGCTGACTGTCAGCTGTTCTTGAAAACACCAAAGAACTAAAGGCGACTAGCACGTGCGTTCTGCACCTGCCTGTAAGGAAATATCTGTCTATATCAGCAGGTATTTTAATATTTTCTTCATTCAAAAAGGAAAATCAAAACTAGGACTGCAAATTAGAACATATTTCAGCAGGGGAAAAAAAGAAAAAAGCTATTGCATCAGCATTCAAGTGCATGAATTGCGGTTGGCGCTCTACCTTTATAAAGCAGCACCGAATGCCAATTCCAGTGAATCATTCTTCTTCATTTATTTGTCACCATCTGAACAAGGATGGCATAGAAGTTGCTTGCAATAGAAATGCATCGCTTTTCAGGTGTTTTACATTGCACATGCATTTCAATTTAAAAAATCTTTCCATTTTCAGTTCAATTATTTGGTAGTCTGAGGTTTTTTTTTTAAAGGTGGGAGTAACCAAAAAAAACTGAGAACCACTGGATTAAGCCAAGATTAGACCTTAGTTCAATTAGGACATTTAAGTAGCTTTTATAAACGTGCCCTAGAAAAAACATTACCATGTGCATATCTTAAGCCTTATCTATGAAACCAGGGGGATAACTTATTTATGAATATAGTGAAGAACTGGACTACCAAAATATATTTTCAGAAACACTAAGACCAACCTGTTGGACCTCGCTCAGAAGGGAATAGGCACTTTGGATCTGTCGTTTGCTTAGTTTTCCCAAAGGCATCTTTTGCAAGTCAATCTGTAGGAGAAATGAAAACCAGTTACAATCAAATCCATGACCACAGACATGCGTTTCTTAATTTTGCTATAGTAAAAAAAGGAAGTGAACACACCTCAAACTCAACCATGGCTTTCTTCATGCTCTCTACATCAAAGATCGTTCGGATGAGGTCTTGGATGGGTTTGGCCAACTTGGATTTGGCGCCTGCGTTTGCAGTCAACAACTTTACAGCCTCCTCATCCTAGGTAAATATATGTGAAAAAATAATGCATTTGGAAGAAATACATATTCTCTACATAAATGGAAACATTTGGAAATGCGTCAACTGCCACAATACATACATATATATATAGATAAAAAGATTTTATTGAAATAAGAAAAAAAAAAAAGTAAAAAAGGTCAATTTTGACCTGGCATCATCAACTGAGGCTTCAGATTAATTGCAATTAATCGCATCCAAAACAAAAGTTTGTGTTTATATAATATATGTGTATATAATATATGTGTGTGTGCTGTGTACATATGCATGCATGTATATATTTAAGAATTATTTGCATGTAAATACTGTATATATAAATTCATAATCTACATTATGTATAAATACAAATATTTTATATATGAATAACACATTTCCTTAAATATATACATGCACGTGTGTGTATTTATATATACAAAATAATGCAGATTGTTTTGATTTCGGAGTTAGATTTGTCCCAAAAATACTTATATACGTTTAAATACTTAACTTAAAAATATATTTGGCCTCTTTCCCATCTCTCACACACTTTCAGGACTGTAACACTTATATCATGATTACATTTGTAGGTTCTTCACTGAAAGCAGGGAGAAGAAGATCTAGTTCATTCTTTCTAACCTTTTATTCATGTTGACAGGCCCTACTAAGATGTATGCACAATTCTGGCAATGCTTTTGAACTCAAACTCATGCCCAACCATTCTCTGGCTACATGTTGTCCCAGTTCTTACCTGTCCGTAGTCAATCTCAAGAGGGTAAAACTTATTGGGGTGTTTTGTGAAGTTTCTTGAGGCCCAGGAATTCCCTGTTTTTTCCTCATACACACTGCAAAAATTATCCATAGCAGAGTTCTTATCGTAAAACTTGTCCAGTTTGTTTCCCCCAATGGTGGTGCCGACTCGACCCCATGACCTGAACACCCAGTATCTGAAAAAGCAACACAAGCATGCTCAAGAAAAGTGGAAATTGGTGCAATTGCTGATATAAAATAATTACAAGGTATTTCCCTTAAAACAAGTGCACATTACAAAATGCTTGCATTAATGAACATACATTTATTGTACCATACATTCACACTTTTATAAGAGAAATGCCTTATGGGAAACATGCATAAATACACAAATATTTAAGGTTTTGAAGCAAGTGTTGGATTAAAAAGTCTTAAAAACTTATATACAGTATGAAATTACTATAAATTATATTTTTTTAATTGCCTGTATATAGATGTCCTAAATAATACTGTGTTTGAGATGAAATTATGTTTTTATAACAGTAAATCACAAAAAATGGGTAAGGCTCACCGTTTCTGGACGTCATCCTCCAGCAACTGTAATTTGTAGTATGAATTTGTCCCTCTAACAATGTCCACGAGACCCAGTGTGGCGCTGTAAATCTTCCCATTCTGATCCAGGACGTGAGCACAGTCTTCCAGACCTGAGCAATTAAATCATGAATAAGGCACTGCACAATCAATACATATCAAAATATAGTATATTAACTTTAAATGAGTATGGGATTAAGTAAAATCTCACCTGAGGCAGGATCTACAGCTGCCCCTCCCTTCACTGTCAGTTTCATTTTCTTTGATATGCTTTCAACTGGAGGAGTAATAAAAGTATTATTCAGCAAAAATAATTATTATAGTTAAATATCATGTAGGCGTGTTTCTGAAATCTTTCTGACAGTGCATTTATGCATGCATATAAATAAGGGCTGTGCAAAGATTAATTGCAATTAATCGCATCCAAAACAAAAGTTTGTGTTTATATATGTGTGTGTGCTGTGTATAATTATTTTGTATATATATAAATACATATGCATGCTTGTATATATTTAAGAATTATTTGCACATAAATACTGTATATATAAATTCATAATCTTTATTATATATAAATACAAACATGTGTGTTTATTTATATATACAAAATAATTATACACAGCACACACACATATATTATGTAAACACACTTGGATGCTATTAATCAAAATTAATCTTTGCACAGCCCTAATATATATGGAATTCAAAAATAAAAAATGCTTAACAACCCTAGAACAAAACTACAATAAATTCAAATAAAAGGAAACCCTGTTTATTTCTTAATGAACGTCCCTGGATTCATACTAGAAAATTGATATTATATACATTTTAAATAATAATAATAATATACTTTAAATATTTTCATATAATATAGAATTATTAAAATATATTAGTTATATAATTATATAATATTTCATCTATAATATTTAATACATTTTATTAAAATAATATTAATATAAAAGCTTAACATGTTTTACCCAATCAAATCCCACCCAAAATAATTTCCATATTTTGATTTAATCTCAAATATTTTATACAATTGAAGTTAAATGTTTTGCAAATATAATTAATCAAAAATAAAAACAAAATCATGCAAAATCTTGCTTTTACAGAAAAATGTCTCTAACCTTTTTCCTCTTTGACTCTGCCAGTACTCTTTGAGGAATGAGCTCCAGTGGATTTGGAGGCCGCGCTTGCAGCCTGGGCCTCGACTTTAACTTCAGCACCCCAAGGGGAGATGCTGTGCAGGGAGATGAGCTCCTGGAGGGCCTTGCCCGACTCCTTGATGTCAGTGAGGAAGTCCTCTGCCACCACACGCACACCTGCGTCCCTCACCTCCTCCATCTTCTTGCTCATTTTTTCAATCTCCTCTGACACACAAGAAGAACAGAGCAGGTTATTAAAGACTTTCAAAGTGACACGGCAAAAAATAAATAAGCTGGTGAAAAATCAGAAGGGACAAATTTATAAATCGGCAAGTAGAAGCAGACCGCCGATTCCTGTGAGAACATACTGGCCTATATAGGACACCTAGCTAACACGCACACCTCATTTTGTATTATAGACAAACCATTTTTGGACCATTTTGAATCATTCTTAAAAGTGTAAAGAACATTTGAATAATATAAAGAACCTTTTTCCACTGTAAAGAACCTTTTGTCCAGTGCAAAGGTTCCATGGATGTTAAACGTTCTTCATAGAACCATCAATGCCACAATTAAAGAATCTTTATTTTTAAGAGTAGGGCTATGGAAAATAATCTACTTGCGATATTAACCAATTATTTTAACCAATCATTTTAACCAATATTGCGATTGTGATTTCATTTGCGATTACTTTTTAAATTCTTTACCTTCTGTATTTGTTGACAAAGACAAGCAATAAATCATTGTACAGTGTAGGGATGGGAATCTTTAGGTAGCTCATGACCAGACCTACTTTTTTTTCTTATTAATTAATCTTAATAACACTTCAAATATGTACTTAACTACATGTGTAAAAATACATAGTTTAAATATATGTATGCATGTATGTATATATATATATATATATATATAGAAAACATTTAATAAAACCAATTACATGTTAAGAATTTTAAATAGGCTATATAGCTTAAAAATATAAAAGCTAGTAACACACATCTGTTTAAAAAAAAGCTCAGATTTGACTCTGAAATTCTTTGAATCGATCCAGACTTGTTGGAGAGAGAATAAATAACACAATATCACATACATTAAAAATAAACTGTTCTTTCCTGTATGCCTGACCTTTATGCGTTGCGTGCCAAGTTGATGCTTGATCTTGCAGACTGTTTTTCTCTCATGTCATCTGACCATTTAATGGCAGCTTTTGCGGTGACAAAAACGTGTTTCATCATATCGCAATATTATAGCAAATGCAATTAATCGTTCAGCCCTATTTAAGAGTGTATTGGGCATTACTTAATTTAGTCAGTGCAAACCAGCTAAACACAAAATCTGTCTACTTAGCAAGGAAGCTCACTAGAGTCTGTAAAAGAGCTACAGATCATCACTCACTCTTGCTGCTGATGCAGAGAGCAGATTTGTTGGCAGTGCCTGTGATTTTTCCTCCCAGTTCTTCCACTGCAGTTTTCAGCTCATCTTTGTTCTTGCTTAGTTTTCCCACAGCCAGCAGCTTCAGTCCTGTCAGAGGCTTATCTAGAGAATACATTTAGACAAAAATAGTTTATACCCATAAAATTGAAAGAGCAGAGTAATCCTTAGCAAACCTGCTTGCCAAATACTCAGTTCCTGAGAGAATATTAAATAATACAAGTGATAGACTGAAGCTGATTGCACAATATCTGGCCACTTTGAGTAAAATATCCACATATTTTACATGTATTAAGTGAATGAAACTTTCATTGTTGCATGAACTTTCCCTTTAAGAAAACAACAAAATAAATGTAGCGTTCATTTAATTTCAGTAATACTTATCAGTATTATTGACAAACGAAAATGGTTTTCATTAACTGAAATACAATTTATTTTTTTCAGTTAGTTGCCAAGGCAGCATTTCTAATTTTTAAGTTAATGTAGTAAAACGTGTTATATTAGTATCATCGATGTACCAGTTAAATTAATATTTAGAATTTTTGTTAGAAGTTTTTTTTTTTAAATATGTTTTGTTTTTAGTTATAAGTTATACTTTAATTCAAGCAACAAAGGCTATGTAACTGTATTAACTGTAACTCTTTTAAAAAAACAAATTTAAATTTAAATAAAAAAGTAAAAATAGAAGATAAACTAAATTAAAAAATTACAATAAATATAACTTTTATATGTATTTAAAATATAAAATGCAGGTTCCTCTGTCCAGCGCCCATCATTAATAATTCACCTCATGACAAACAAGCTGATAAATATCCCCACTGAGCCTACTTTCCCTCTATAATGTAATTAACACCCATTTGGGTGGCGGTAATGATGACCGTTAGTGGAAAAAACCCAAACAGGAGCATTTTCCCATTGGAATGAAAGGCTTATAAAAGCCCATATTACAGTGATAGGTGAAGAGCAACACAGCAAGAGAATATAAATGAAAATATTAAAGTCAAAGCTAATTCAAAACATACTGCAATAGCCCATAAAAAAATGCAAAAATAATTTTGCTTACATCTGATAAGCTATCATTTATTTGTGTAGGCATCCAACCCACTAAATAAGCATCAGTATTTGTCAAGGTTTGTCTCAGTCACTGACCTGCAGGCACCTCTGAGAGGTTGTTACTGGAGGAAGTGGACATGCTCGGGACGGCTGAGGTCACGGTAGCAGACGAGGGGGTGGGGGTCGCAGGAGGAGCATCTTTGGGAAACAAACGGTCCTGCCGTTTGAACTTAAACTTCTTCAGGAAGGGAATATCACTGAACTCCTGAGGAAGTATAACATTGTGTTAGGATTTGGAGAACTGCGTACTGAAATCCAAAGACCACAGATCTACTAACCTTAGGAGTGACCCAGTCTTTGCGATCAGGTGTCTGAGTCTTGAATACACACTTGGTCCATGCAGAGATGTCTCCAGTACAGTAGTATGCATCGCTCTTAAACACAAGTTGTCCTTTGCAAGTCTCACAAGGCTTCAAGGACCCAAACGCCATGCAATCTGATAGCCGGTCCACAACCTGTCAGTCAAACACAATTTTAATTAAAGAAATGACACAAAGTCATGAAGGTAAAGTGAAAATAGTCAGATTCTACTTGGTATCTGATGTTTGATGCTGCTGCTATTGAAATTGCCAGTCAGACAGTGAGCATCAGGTCAAATGAGCATGTAAATACAGTTTCTTTACATTTGACTCCCCAGAGGGAACTTCCTGTTTGTTAGCAATAAGCAGTTCCTTCATGTCATTGATGGAGCAGAACTTCTTTAGCTTGTCTTTAATTCCCCAGATCAGCTGGCTTTGCTCCTAGAATACATAAAAAAACCAGACAAAAGCATTTTAGGCTGATATTTTCTTATATTTACAGAAAAAACAAAAGAGAAATGAGTTAAATGTTGGGAGCCAACGCTACAATACATTTTTTACAGATGCCACGGCTCTGGTGATAGCGAGGAAAAAGAATGCTAAATGCAAATAACTATAAAATCATGTTAAGAGTAGAAAAAACAAATAAAACTTTATTTCTATACATTATAACGGTGTAAATTCATTTGTTAATAGGTAAAAATGATCCACCATAATCCATACCATGTTATATAGATGATCTCATCTCATACCTTCAGTTTCAGCTCCAGTTTTTCATCTTCTTTCTTCTGTTTCTTAGACACTCCTCCATCAACATCATCTGTCTTTCTCTTCCTGAAAAAAAAAGGCATTTATAAAAACACCAGATGCACGGGCCTAAAACACTTTATGAAAACACATTGAAAATTGTAGTGGTCATTTTGAAATAGGGCTGGGCAATGATTAATCGCATCCAAAATAAATGTTATGTTTACATAATATATGTGTGTAGTGTGTATAATTATTTTGTCTATATAAATAAACACACATGCATGTATATATTTAAGAAAAATGTGATATTAATATATAAAATATTTATTTTAATATATAAAATTAATTATGTATAAATATATATAAAGTATATACATGCAAATATTTCTTAAAAATATATGCGCATGCGTGTGTATTTATATACAAAATAATTACACACTACACACACATATTATCTAAACACAAACTTTTATTTTGGATGCTTGCCCAGGCCTATTTTGAAATTAGGATATTACTTAAATACGCTGCAAACAATGACTTATTACATTCAAAATTCTGAATGATCAACTGAGGTATTCACCAGTTAAAAACTTCTGCATAATGATGCTATTCTTAATTATGAAAACTATTAAAAATGCATTTGTTATTTTAAAGCTGAAATAAAAATAAATAAAATGAAAAACTTAAACCTAATTTTAAAAAATAATAATAACTGAAATAAAATGTTGTACTAAAATTGCAAAAAATTTTAAAATAATAATAAAAAAGAAGCTAAATTGTAATATTAAGAAAAAGTTAAAATGTCAAAAGCACATAAAAAACTATAATGTTATGCAAATAATACTTAAATTACACTGCTACATTGCTCCTTTATACTGATGTAAATAGGATATTCTCACTGTAAACTTGAAAAAACAAACCCTGGTCCATGATCTGATCATCTGATCTGAATGGTGAACTTTTCCACCTTGTGGATTTGAGTTAATCCTACAGAGAGATGTTGGCCTCCTCTGATCTCGTGTGGTGGCTCATCTATCAGTGGACCTCATTAAAGGATTATCAGTCCTCTGAGTCACAGTCACGTCTGGACAGGTTCCTCTGTCCGGCGCCCATCATAATGCCGATCATTAATAATTCACCTCATGACAAACAAGCTGATATCAACATCACCACTGAGCCTACTTTCCCTCCATAATGTAATTAACATCCATTTGGGTGGCGGTAATGATGACCGTTAGTGGGAAAAACACAAACAGGAGCATTTTTCCCATTAGAGTGAAAGGCTTATAAAAGCCACACTGTGAAAGGCGACACAGCGAGAGAAAATAAATGAATATAGATGTGGCATCTTTTGCTAATGGATAGAACATTTCGAAGTAGATCCAAAGAAGTCAAATGCATTGGCAGAACATAGGCAAACAACAAACGACGAGTGACATCTCAAAGCAATAATACGAAGCATACACGACAGACTTGGTATGTACATCAATAATACTTATTCTTAATTAGATGTTTTGAAATTTTATATTTTGCTAAATTTTAAGTAGGGGTTTACCGATACCCACATGTCATGATTCAGTACAGATCACGATAGGATATTATTGCGATACTGCAACACACATATGGTAAAAGGTTAACAAAAATTGTTTTACTGTTGATTAAAATGCTAAATTTGGTGTTCGATGTGTAATGTATCGATGTGTGTGTAAATTAATAGAGCGGACTTTGTGCTGGAGACCCAAAGCACAGGACAATAGAGACACCAGAATAACAATATTGAAAATACTGAATTATTTAAGCTTGGACTCCGTCAATGACTAGATATACAGAGGATAACTTTTGAAATTGTCCAAAAACAAGGACGGTATTGTTCAAAAATCATATATAACTCTAATGAAAGGTTTTGATCCACTTCAAATGTTGACTACTGTATTTAAAATAATGTACCACTTTTGGTACTGGTAACATCAGACATTTAGTATTATCAGGACCCAAAAATATTCCCCCATTGCATTATTATATTACATTCAACTTTATATGTTAGTGTTTATCATTCTAAAACTCTGAAAACTCACACCGTACAATACATCAGCATTTTTGTATGGCGATATATTAAGAAACAATATATTGTCACACACCTAATTTTAAGTACATTTTTTTTGTTTTACTTTAACACTTAATGTTAATTAATCATATATTGTTTTTAATAATAATAATATATTTGACATTTATGCTTGTACTTTTATTCAGCAAAATGCAAATAATTCTACAGTTTTCATAAAAATAATAAGCAATAAACTACATTTAAACATATATTTGTTATTATATTAATACAAGCAGGGCTTGACATTAACTTTTTTGCTCACCAGCCACTATGGTTAGTGATTTACCAAAGATACTATCCACTTAGCATTTTCACCAGCCACAACTTTGACATCGACACCATAGGGAAATACTTATATTATATGAGATATTTTTAATATTATCTCATAATGTTTTATATAGCCAATATAATTGTCTTTATGTGCACACACTTTAGAAGTGAGCATAAAATCTGCGGGAATAAGTAAAATTATGCTGAATACACGCAATCTCACGCCGAAATTCAAGCCCTGTAACACTAATATTAATCCGGTGCAAATGAAACAAGTGAGTGACGGGTTTGTGTGTCAACCCCCTGTCGGAGATATAAGAGAGTTACAAGCATTACTCCCTTCACTAACATGCATATGAGGAGTTCTTGATTTCTTTACCGACTGATGGTTTATTCAGAAGGTCAATTCCTCATTTAAAGGCACAGTAAAGGCAATCAGATTGATTTTACATCATTTTAATAGACCATTTTGCGAGATGTAAACAACACTGGTCCAGAAACACTTCCTGTATCAATTTGTAACTTTTTTCTTTATTTTACATGTAAAGAAAAAACCTTAAAGATGTTTGTTTAATTTTTTGATTCAGTTTAATATGTTCTGTTGGTTGTATTTTATCCCAGATTTTATGTAGTGTTAAAAAACACAGGAAGTGCTTCTGGATCTTGCAAAATGGTCTATACAAAGCGTAATAAAGGATTTTCAATCATCATTTTTCTTCCTGGTTCGGTTTTATATCTACAGGTCAAAATGAACGAGTCTATCGCCAACTTCACTTTCTCGCCGACTCAGCTCTACCTCAACGCGACTTTAATGAATGTCACCTCTTATGAAAATAACACATTTGTGCAGTTCACCAACGGCCTGTCCACCATGTCCACACTTGCGCAAGGTAAACTTACTCAAACTACCTCTACTACGGCTACAACTACAACTACAACAGCTGCACCCAACATCCTAGCATCAATAAACCTGCCTTACATGATAGCCGAGCTCATAATAGCCTTCCTCTCCGCCGTGGGCAACCTGCTGGTTTGTGTTGCAGTGGGACTGAACCGAAAGCTCCAAACGGTTACGAATTACTTCCTGGTGTCGCTAGCAGTGGCGGATATATGCGTGGGTGTCCTGGCGATCCCTTGCGCCATTATGACAGACCTGGGAATTCCACGGCACAATCTGTATCTGTGTTTGCTAATGTTATCTGTGCTCATCATGTTAACCCAGAGTTCCATCTTCAGCTTGCTAGCGGTCGCTGTGGAGCGTTACGTGGCCATTTTCATGCCCTTCCAGTACCACCGGCTCATGACGCCTCGCAAAGCAGTGCTAGTCTTGTGTTTGACTTGGATGCTGGCGTTCTTGATCGGCCTGGTGCCATTGATGGGCTGGTTCAAGCCACCACCTCCGTCGGGCTACTGTTTCTTTGTGTTTGTGGTGGATATGACCTACATGGTCTACTTCAACTTTTTCGCCTGCGTCCTGACCCCACTGGTGGTGATGTTCCTCATCTACGCGCAGATCTTCGTCACGGTAAAACGTCAGATGAGGAGGATTGCAGCAGAGCGGGGCGGCGCAACCAACACAGAGGGAACGGCGAAGATGAAGAGAGAGATGAAAATGGCCACTTCGCTCTTTCTGGTCCTCTTCCTTTTCACGGTCTGCTGGATTCCGCTACATATCATAAACTGCTTCCTGCTGCTGTGCCCTTCGTGTCCCGTCCCCATACCGCTGCTACTAACGGCCATTATTCTCTCCCACGCGAACTCTGCTGTTAACCCTTTCCTCTATGCCTACAAGATGAAAACCTTCAGAAAAGCCTTCAAGTCTATCTTTCTATGCGGCAGGGGCATCAGTGATGGTGATGAGCAGCATGATGATGGGGGACGCAACACCCAAAGAACCTGAACGCTAACACTTTATCCAGTCCTAAAGTAAAGACTGAAAAGAATCAAAACAATGGGAGTAAAAACTCAATTCTAAGGGTGATCATTATTTGATGTGTAAATCCAGACCTATATTTTCTATGAGTCACTCTTGTCTATGTGTTTCTAAGAAAGGTTCTTTGTTTTGAGAGAGAAAACATAACACTATTTTTTTTACTCAGCTTTTATTTATTTATTTTTTTACTTTATTTATTACATCCAAACAAACAATGAAGCAACTACATTAGGGTTGGGCTACGTCGCCCGTGACCTTTTGAACGTAATTACGTATTACGTGACGTTACAAACGCGCCTCACAGAATGGAGCAAGGCTAGCATTTGTCCTTAGAAAAGTTACATTTTTGGAATAAGTTTTGAAATAACCGATCGTTTCGCATTATAAGACCCTTATTCATCGTCTGATGTCGTTTAAAGACATTTGAAGCTGCATCTGAAACTGTTATTAACTGTCGTTTGGACCTTGGACCGTCTGGTTCCCATGTAAGTCCATTTTATGGAGAAAAATCCTGGAATGTTTTCATCAAAAACCTTAATTTCTTTTCGACTGAGGAAAGAAAGACATGGACATCTTGGATGACATGGGGGTGAGTAAATTATCAGCAAAAGTTTTTTTCAAAAGTGAACTAATCCTTTAACTCGCGATTAATCGCACATTTTTATCTATTCTAAATGTTTCATGATTTCCTTTTCTCACATTATTATTATTTTTTTTTATTTTAATGCTCTTATCAACATGAAAATGTGGATCGGCTTGCTTTGTGCAAATGTTTTTTTATTGAAAACAACATTGGCATATACTGTGTTCAATTTCACACTAACATTCTCTCTTGGAGAAAATAATCTCTCACACAATGTAACACTGTTCATCAATAAAAGGGTGAAAGAAATACTGACGAGGTCCTGATATTGACGAGGGGGGCGGAGAATTCGCATCAGTGTGTGTGTGTGTGTGTGTGTGATCCAGCGTTCAGATTTAATTCAAAAATATCTGAATTTGTGTTCTGAATATGAATGAAAGTCTTACAGGGTTGAAACAATATATGAGGGCGAGTAATTATCAACAGAACTATCCCTTTAAGCTGAAATTGCTACACAAACCTATCCAGTTTACATAAACAGGTAAGCTGCATTTCTTGTAAAACTAAAAGCTTTAGAAAAAACTGTGCTTATATAGTTTGAGGCAACATGATGACCCAAAAAAGAAATCAGACACTCACCCTTCATTCTTCACTGCAGGAAGTCTTTTCTTCAGCTCCTCCTTGTCTTCATCTCGTAGAGCTCCGAAACCTTTGAGCTGGGTGGCACCGTACTCTGGTTTAAACAATAGTTCCTCACGACGGCTCACAAAGCAGCCAGTGTGGTACCAGCGATCTATCAGACCAAGCTGAGGTTTCTCTGGGTCCACGGACTTCTTTGACACACGGATGTGGTCCTGAAGATCAGCAGGGAAGATTCAGATTATTTTATTTAACGCCATCTCAGCATTCAAAGCTATTTTAATTGCAAAAATTCAATTACAAAAATACAAATATATTATAAATACAATAAAAACAAATACAAAAACAGCAAGTCATATTACAAAAGATCTTGAAAATTAACATATGATACAAAAATCCAAAACCATTTCAGGCATAATCTGATTAAATATATCCTTAAGTGAAGTAAATTCATAAAAGAGCATTTTGCTTGTACTAAGCCTTTAAGTAAAAAACCATGGGTCAAACTTTTGTGCCCCATACGTCATCTGGTGTAGAATACTTGATCAAGTTAAGCTTTAAGAGTGATAAAAAGTCTGTAATTTCCTAGCAGGGAAGAACAGATTAACTCATGTCTTGTGTTCAAAAAGCATAATTTGTTAAACAAAAGAATACATTATGTACCTTTTCAATCTTTTGATCACATCCCTTGCAGGTGCTTCTGTTGGATTTGGCGTACTCCACTGCAAAGTCATTCAGTATCTTTTCCCCTTTAGCTGCTCCCTTCTGCTCTCCTTTCCCTGCAAAGCAATGAGGATTAATGAATTCATTTAAGACTTAGTGACTTAGTGCCTACCTGCTTTGCAGCCCATATGGCAAATCAAACCAAACAAAAACAGTGCTTAGGTCAAAATGACTATAATTTTAACAAATCACCTCCAGTAGCACCACCGCTCTCAATGGCTTTCTTCACTTTATCCTGGTCATCCCAGCGCAGGTCAGTAAATCCAGATATGTCAGAGGGTGACTGTACAGCAGCCCGGAGCCAAAAGCAGGAAAAATGGTGCCAGTGAGGCACTTTGCCATCAAACATGGGAGACTGTGAGAGACAGACAGGTGCAGCATGATTAAGAAACATCCGCTAAAACACTAGTTCCCTGCTAAATGAAACCGAAAGCACACACAAACATAACATTACAGCAGTTTGGTCATTTTTGGTTGAGGATTTGCAGTAAAACATAATTGTGAATTGTACAGCACTATTGCTTGTCAATTGTTGCAGAAGTCTATCATAACCATATGTAAACATTGTGTTTATTAAGCCATGAATCAAATTATAAGATATGTGAAATTCAGTCATTGCAAACGAATTGTTTCTTTTGAGATTCATTGTTTTATCATCAATTCATTACAACAACACAGCTTTGATTTTATTGTTTCCACATTTCCATTTGTTTCTTGTTAATGTTGTCCAATGCACCACTAAAAGCAATTTCAAACTGATGTCCATATTTAATTCCATAACCATTTAAACTCTTGGGCCTGAGAAACTTACATAATGTTACGTGTAATGCAATTGCATTGACTAAGTTAACTTAACACTACGCGTTCAAAAGCATACCTGCAAAATACAAATGCATTTACACCAAAATACTGATGTTTAATAGCAATATTGGGTCAAAATAGCACAGAATTCATTACCTGCACCATAATGGCCATTCTCAGCGAGTCCTTAGCAATGTTTTCTTTGCATTTCTTGCAAGAGGCGCGTCCACTTTTCGCATATTCGGCTTTGTAGAGCTTGTCGTCCTGTGAATCAGCCATTTCTACAGATATAACTGTGAAAAGTGGAGGTTTGGGGTTTAATTGTAGTCAGACAGGGCAATAACTAACGTTACAATGCAATGAGAAATAGCACTCAGTCCGCGTGCAGAAGCAGCACCAGAAACACCCGCGCAGAATACCAGCCCAAACTAATCGAGTCTACATTCCTCTAGAGTAGAGAATACGCGCAGGCAGAATTAATCGAACTCGAGCAACCTTTACGATAATGACAGTGAATTTTTAGTGACATGTTTGTTTTAAACATTACGACTCTTGAACTTACACAGGGGTAAGGAGCAGTGGTGTTATGTTGTTAATGATAACTTTAATTCCTTCTAACTTGATAACCTGCTCATTCCTAGATGAAGCGATAGGAGAAATGCTGGTGACGCATGCTGGTCCTGTCTGTTAAAACACTTTTTTACAAACCAAATTGTTTTATTAAAAGTGTCGTCTATTAAATGCAAAATTGACAAAGTCAAAGATCATATAATATTATCAAATATGAAGTGACAGTATAATGTGTTAAAGTGCAGAGCTGGTTAGTCAGGCCAAGAAGAGACTACTACAACTCTTCCTTTTTATTATGACAAATTTGTCATTAAAATGTTTACAAATTTATTAAGCAATATAGAGATAGCCTATAGACAGTGTTTTAATGAGTCGGGTAACAAAAAACATTGAAATAATTATTACCACGAATCCCTGGTTCGAAACAAATTATTTTGAAGCTTCACGAAGCAATTTCGGAAGCGTCCATGACTACTAAAAATGCTATCTTCAAAAAAGGTAAGGATTGAAATCTTTCTGTTTGAATTATTTTACATTATATAAAATAATTGTGGTCAATATATTTTGGCGTGAACTAGTTATCATGGTAAAGTTTTTGTAAGGGATGGGATGGGAATCATGGGATATGCCAACTGTGGTATCTGGGTACACAAGCCTGGATTTTTATCATAAATAAGAGAACAGAAAAAGGTAAATGCATTTATTTTTTATTTATTTCATTCATACATATAAATATTGGCCTATGCAAATTGTTCCATCATGCAAATTCACGCCGTGTAGCAGTAGAAGAAAGAATATCATGGTGTTATTATCATGGTAAATTTGTTTTGACAAATTCTACAAAAAAAGCTACAAAATCAGTTTGTGGTGAACATGTGGAGGTGTTTAGTATGACATTTTCTATTTTAAATAAGATACTCTGATCATTAAACTTTAATTATATGAAAGCATTTCCTGGTATATAAAGGTGGTTTTATGTACATATCTCTTTTAGCACAGATTACTAACTACAGTGTAGTTTCAAGGCAATATAAAATGGCTGTTACACATGTATTTTTACATTTTAAATGGCATTTACATGTATAACATCTCAGTGGAAATCAGAAACAAATGTCTAATGTAAACAAAGAAAAAGTAAAGAATAAAGACTATTAACTTATAAAACTAACTGTATGTTAATGTTAAAACAAATATTGTAGACTTAATTTTTTTTAAATTTTCTTAATCTTTATTATTCTTCTGAGGTACAAAATAGTTATAGTCATCACAAAACTTAAAAAGCAGTGACAGTTTGTGCACAATTTGTATCTGTGGTACATATGAGGTATTTTATGTCATGGCAGGAATGAGGAACAATTCTGTAAAATGCCTTTTAACACGATTATCTAAACCTTTACATTGACTGTAGCAAGGTAAAAAGTCTCCTTAGATTTGGATCTCATTAGATTGTTTCATTATAAGAAGTTACAAGTGAAATTTATGAAAATATAATAAAAAAAGTCCTACAAATATGTTCTACAGACAAGTCCATATGAGGATTTTATAAGATATTTGAGGTATCCTTTCAAAGATGAAGGCAGGGTCTCAACTGAGTGTCATTCAAGTTACAGTGAATCCAGGTATGATGTGTCACATCATAGTCTTTAGTGGCTAAAGTTGCTGTTTGGCAGAGTGAAACCTCCATTGGTACCTCTCTGTTTCTCTCTGTGAATGGCCTGTACAAGGCCAAAGACCACAGCGGCCAGGGTGGTCCTCCCACTGCGTCCATTCTTTCCTCTGTCCGAAATACCGTTGCTTGCCATCTGACGCCTTTTGGTGCTGATGAAGTACGTTCGGACATGTCCCTTTCTTTCACTGACGCCTTTGATGTATATCTCACCACGCAACTCTAGCGCGAAGCCCCAGTCTGCTAGAATATTACGTGTGCCCTCGGGGACCTGAATCCTTCCACTGACTCCAGTACTGTCCATCCGACTTGCCAAATTCACTGTCATGCCCCAGATATCATACTGGGGTTTGGTGGCACCAATGACCCCAGCAACAACAGGGCCATGGGCAATTCCTAGGGGGGTATATTGAAGTTACTCATATATATATACTCATTGTAATTGTCAGAAATTTTAGATAACTGTATAGACTTCATATTCAGAGTAGATGGCATATTTAAAGGAACCGAAAAATATTTTTTATTAAGATAAGCAACACTTAACCCCTCAGCAAAACATGGCTGCCCACTGCTCCGGGTGTGTGTCTCCACGGTTTGCAGTGTATTTACTCGCTACTCCCAATGTGTGTGCACTAACTTTAATGGGTTAAATCCAGTGCACAAAGTATGGGTTACCAATCTTGGCCTTTCACTTTCACTTTACAGTGACCAGGGTCTGTCAAGATCCAAAAAGGGCAAGCCTTCTGAAGCCATTCAATGCTAATTTATTACAAAATGTAGCTGAATTATTTCTTAAATGTGACATGACCAAAACCAAAAGGCTGTAAAAGACAAACGTACAGTCTGTTCATTATTTACAACCCATGTTTTTATGGAAATGATGGCGCAGTGGATAAGACACATGCCTTTGGTGTGAGAGACCCGGGTTCGAATCCAATGTGAGACACCAATGTTTCCCTGAGCTAGACACTTAACCCCTAGTTGCTCCAGAGGCGTGCGACCTCTGATATTTATAGCAATTGTAAGTTGCTTTGGATAAAAGCGTCAGCTAAATGAATAAATGTAACTGTATTGTGCTACACAACAACAGTCCAAAATATTTCTATATTACAGCCTCATTTGCATTAGATTAAATATAGCATCTACTTTGACTGAGGTCTATTCCACTAGCCATTACCAGCGCGCAGTTGGAAATTGTTTGAAGAATGTTTGTTGATCTCTCTCAGAGTCTCTTGCATAGCCAAAGCGAACAGAACCAACTCACTGATATGATGCAAGTCATTCAAAACACAAGACTGTCAGGATGAAGCACAGAACAATTATATTGCATTACAGTTGGAAATTCCAAATGTATATAATTAAGAAGGCTAATCAAATGAATAAGAATGGTTTACCTGTTTATCGGGTGATAAACCAGATGCTGCCATGTAGCAACTGCCAATGGTTTTGATTTTCTCAATGTTCAAAAAATATGACTCCTCTAACAACTTTTCCAGAGAGAAACAAAAACAATGAGGGCTTTGTATAAGACAGATGAGAGAAAAAACACCAGCACAAAAAATACAACCTTCCATCAAAGTCCTACCTCATCAAAGTCTGCAATGATCTCATTGAGCAGTCTGAGACACTCAACTCCCTCGTGTTTGATCTCCTTTTGCTCATAGTAGTCATTAAAGCCAGCGATGGAGGCAAACATCACCCCCACCTCATCATAGGACTGAGAGTACAGCTCCTGAGAGGACAAAGACAACATCATGCATGGACTTTTATTTGGTCTTCGTAGTTTATTAGTTGTGGGTCATTACACAGGAATGCACAAAACAACTCCATTAAGGCTTTTTAAGTCCAAGTGCTTATAAAATAAAACAATATTGAGACAATATCATATGTGTACATCACATTTCTGAACATTTCTATTCATTCTAAAAGTGATGTGATCTCTCTCAGAGGACCTCAAACAAGAGTTATGAATTATACGAGTTCACCCGAGTGCATGTTTTTCTTTCTCAACAAAGTATTTCAGCTGAAATATGTTTAAAATGTCTAAAATGCTGAAGTTAGCTATAGCCTGATATAATAACATGGGAAATAAGCAGCAGTTTTGACCATCTCCATACTCAGGTAAACTCTGCCTTTGTTCATGACTGCTCCTCAAGCCCCAATTGGCCCATTTTTGGACCAAAGTATTCGGCGGGCCAAAAAACCCTGACTGTTGGGCCTTAGGAAGTCCCAACAGGCCCAATAGTGACAATAGAAATGGGACTGGCCCTGGCCCGACAGTGGAAACACGGCTAATGACTCTCAAAACTGTCCAGTTACTAGAGCTAATTACAACAATATTAGTTTTGTTCTCAGTCAGTTTCCTTTATAATAATAATAATAATAATTCGTTACATTTATATAGCGCTTTTCTGGACACTCAAAGCGCTTCACATAGAAGGGGGGGATCTCCTCAGCCACCACCAATGTGCAGCATCCACCTGGATGATGCGACGGCAGCCATATTGCGCCAGAACGCTCACCACACACCAGCTTACTGGTGGAGAGGAGACAGTGATGAAGCCAATTGGTGTATATGGGGATGATTAGGAGGCCATGATGGACAGAGGCTACTGGGCAAATTTGGCCAGGATGCTGGGGTTACACCCCTACTCTTTCGAAAGACATCCTGGGATTTTTTATGACCACAGAGAGTCAAGACCTCGGTTTAACGTCTCATCCGAAGGACGGTGCTCTTTTGACAGCATAGTGTCCCCATCACTTTACTGGGGCGTTAGGACCCACACAGACCACAGGGTGAGCGCCCCCTGCTGGCCTCACTAACACCTCTACCAGCAGCAACCTGGCTTTCTCAGAAGGTCTCCCATCCAGGTACTAACCAGGCTCAGCCCTGCTTAGCTTTAATGGGCAACCAGTCTTGGGCTACAGGGTGATATGGCTGTTTCCTTTGGAAACACTGTAAAACCAAAGTTACCCACTATGGAGCAGAAACAAAACAACCTTGGCATCTGTTTTCAGGCTTTCCCACTGAAGGCATCTCCAGCGCTAGAAAGCTTTTCTATATTAATACGGATCCTAAAGTTCTTGTCTGATCATAACCCTTCTTTTTCCAGTGATATTCCTCTGAGCTTTTCTCTTTTGTAATGTCTCTCTTTCTATAGTCTTTTTTCAAATCTCGCTCTTGCTC